GTCCTTAGTGGGCGCCTCCGCCAGCTCCTGGGAGGGGATAGGTGGGGTGGGGTTTTTCGTGTACGGCATCTGATGTCAAAGGAGGATGGATTTGCATACGTGTGCGCCCGTACTCGTACTCATACAAGTGCTTAGTAGACAGGCAGGAGGGGAAGGGGAAGGGAAGGGAGGGTGAAAGAGAGAGTACGACACAGCAGGCGATGGAAAGAGTGGAATCAGGAACTCCCCTCCTCCTCCCCCTGGCCCCAGCCCAGGCCCCCCCTTAGGTGCAACCCCATTCCTCGCGCCTCCATTCATTCCCTGTCCGGCTCAAACCTTGGAAAGGACAGCTTACGGCTCTCGTTACAGCGCACCTTTGAAGGCTGACGCAACTCGAGCTGTAACACACAGACACACATCCCTGACCATGAACCCCGTTCCCTTCCCAAACCCCCCTTCCCCCATACCCCCATTCTCATCCCCTAATGCCCTCCTACCTTGTTAGTGTGCCAGATTCCCACCGTCAAATTGAACAGCTCTGCCAGTTGCTCCTCCAGCCCCTCTGAGACGTGCATGCTGCCAGTCTTGACAGCGGCCTCCAGCGGGTCTAGCAACGCATCCAGCCGCCGGCCCGCCTCGGCGCCCAACATCCTTTTGTACATCTCACTCGCACTGCGGTCCTCAGTGCTCCGCAACATCGCATCTACCACCATGCCCAGCCAACTCTCAAGCGACAGCCAGTGACACAACCTCTCGGGCCGCCCAAACCGCGCCATGCGCTCCGCCAACGTCCACACACGGGTGAAGTACTCCCGACCCGCGACAGTCTCCTTGGCCTGGATGCTTTCCAGCAACTTCAGCAGGATGCCCCATCGCGGCGAGGTCATGACGCGGCTGCGTACGACGCGCATGGCTTTGGTCAGCAGCAACCGCACCACGCCGTCGGCTGGGATGCGAACGAACGTCGGCAATACGATCATGGCACGCGCGCGCGCGTAAAACACCTTGGAGCGCAGCACCTCCACCATGGGAGAGGACTTGTACTGGGGCACGCAGCTCCAGTCTATCCACACATACCGCATGCCCCCGTCCTGTGCACGGCGCAGTGCGGCAGTCAGCTCCGCGAATTGCGCCTCGGACATGGGCGCAAAGCCCGGGGTGTACTCGGTGGGTTTGACGGCGCTCCAGCGCCAGCTGAGGATGATGGTAGTGTTCCAGGTGTCGGCGTCGACGTCAGCGTACGGCACCTCCAGGGCTTCCGTGGCGACGTCGACTTCCTCGTAGACGCGGATGTTGGGCCAGGTCAGGACAACGTCCAGGGAGAGCAGCCGCATGGGGGCCTTGCTGAGTTGGGGGGGCATTCCGTCGTGGAGGTCGAGGATGCTGGCGGGGAGCTGCTCCAGTTGCATACCCGTGGAGGGGATGGAGGCCAGAAGGTCCTTGGGGGCGAGGAGGGAGGAGGCGCATGAGGATAAGGAGAGGGGGAAGGAGAAGGGTGGGAAGGAATGAGCTTTAATTCTTACAGGATGCTGCAGAAACGGTTTGCTCTGCCCTGCTAAGGATTCAGATGTATTATAAACACACAAGTTTGAACCTTCGGAAAAAGATCCAGGGCTGGGCCTAGCCTAGGGGGAAAGGGAGCAGATATTTGGCCGCTTAGCGCTCCCCCGCACCCAAATTCCCACACCTCTCCATACCCTCCCACCACACCTCCTGGCCCCAGTTCTTCTCAATCTCCTCATCTGCCTGGCGCCGCGCCTCGAACATCACAGCCTCTGCCTCCCGAAGCCGCCGTCGCTCCTGCTCCTCAAGCTGCCGCTGCTCCTGTTCCATTGCCGCTGCCGCCGCCGCCGCCACTTTGTCCGACACGGTAGTAGTAGCAGTAGCAGCAGCAGCAGCAGCTGTAGTGGCCTGAGGTCCCATTTCCGCCAGATTATCAGCAAGCACGGCCGCCGCTGGCAGTGGTGCCGGCATGGACGCCACTGGCGATAACCCCGCAGCCGCAGCCGCACCCGCTGCTGCAGACGGCTGCACTGGCCCGATCAACATGCCAGTGCTCTGGGGCGCTGTAGCGGCAAGCGCCGCCCTAGCAGACGGGCCTCCAGCCGCCAGCCGGGCCATCAGGTTCTCCAGCTGAGGCTGCAGCACACCTACCAGGTCGTTCAGATGCCGCCGCTCCGCTGTGGCCCGCTCATCCAGACGCCGCCGCTCCTCTGCTGCCGCCTCGTCAAGCTGCGTCCTCCGAGCCACGGCCTCTGCATCTAGCCGCGTGCGCTCCGCTGCCGCCTCATCATCGAGCTGCTTCCGTACCATGGCAGCCGCCTCGTCAAGCTGCTTGCGCTCCGCCGCCGCCTCCTCGTCTTTGCGTTTCCGATCCGCTGCCGCCTCCTCATCCAACTGCGCCCTCGCCGCGGCAGCGTCCTCGTCCAGGCGCTTTCGAACTGCCCCCGCCTCCTCCGCGGCCGCTTCTGCCATCCGCCGCCGCTCTGCCGCGGCCTCTCCATCCAAGCGAGCCCGAAGTGAAGCTGCCTCTTCATCCAGGCGGCTCCGCTCAGCAGCCGCATCTGTGTCTAATCGCCGCCGCTCCACCGCTGCAGCCTCGTCCAGCCGTTTGCGGTCCGCTGCCACTGCCTCCTCCAAGGCCTTCGCATGCTCCTCTCTCTCCTGTTTCAGTTGTAGTCTTAAGCTAGCCGAGTCTTCCATGGGCTGCGTGGGCTGAGAAGCTTCCATGGTGGGCACCTGCCGCGGCGACATTTACGACGCATGCCAGCAGAAAGTTATGTCCAAAAGAGCAGTGCAGCAGGTACGCCACGGAGAAAATGAGGTAGACAATATATGAAAAAACCTAAGTCTGGATTAGGTTTCCAGGTATGGCATCTATGGCATAGGTCATGCATGGCAGGCAAGTGCGAGCGAGAGCAGAGACGGACTCACCACCTGGTTACGAGGTGTAGGCTGAACGCGCACGACATTGCCTGCCTCCTGTTGCATAGGGGACATTAATCATTAAAGTATGGACAGGTCATACCACCTGCCGACGGAGCTACCCTGTCGCGTACCGTGGAACCTGCTCCACCCATGACCAAATGTGTTTAAGAATGAGATCAAAATGCAAGTTAACAGAGAAGTTTAATCGCGAGCTTGCTGGTCAGGCACTGTTGTGCCGGTATTCGATTGTCTATGCCTTAGGTTTATTACGTTCCATATTAAGCAGGCCAGTTATGTGAAATATCTCCCTTATAAGTCTAAATGAAGGCAAAAGCCTCGGGCGCAAGTACTCTTGTCAGCGTTACCGGCAGGGTAACTAGGCACTAAGGACAGGCGCCGCGTGAGATTCGTACAATGCAACAGCAATCATATACAGATATATGAGCTCTGCATGCCTACGAATGAATTACGGATGAGCCGGCGCGCAAATGTTGCAAGACCAAGCGGCCATGTACGGCAGCCTTAGATATGTGATATTGGCTAAATTTAAGCTGGCCAGTGATCACTTTGTAAATTCGCACAGCGTTTACTGTATCTAAGGTTTCATGATTCTTTGCGACACCACGACATGCTTCGCGTGTTTGCGGATGATTGCGTTGGGTACGTAGAGATTGAAAAGGATACGGAACAGCGCACCCTCACCGCCCGCACCCAGCAATCTCCAAAAGACTTTTAGAACACTTTTGTTGGCTTAAATATATTTGCTGAAGCGCGTGGGCGTTTTTTAGGAACTCACAATTTATGTGCGACAAGTGGATGTCGTTCAGAACCCGACCAGCGATGTAATGAGGATATAGTAGGCTGGCCGCCGAGCCAAACCGAGGTTTAAAGCTGTTAGCCATGTATACAAATGCGGTGTGGTTTTACGGTAGTTTTTTTATCTCTGCCTGCATTTCTGATCGTAAGTAGAGCTGTAGCCATAGTCGTGCTTGCACCTGCAAATGTATCTGTGGGAGAACCATAATGCTATATGTGTCTGTGAAGTCCTCCTTTAGATCCAAATGTGATGTGCCCAGAGGAGGAGACGCTCAAGCGGCTGCTCGGAGAGATTTAGGTGGCACCTGAGCGGGCGGTTCCCTCCCGGCCCCCGATTATTGGCGTACTAAGGGAGCCAGGGTCATTAAAGGGGTGATTGAGATACAGTGGGGCAGCATGCAAGCCATCAACATCATTTCAGCAACCTGGACGAGGTTCCGCTCCATGGGCCCGGAACTACCTCCCTCAGATTCCCGTGCTGACTTAAGCCAGTCGCGCCACGAAGGGCAATGCGTCGGGTGTTTTGACATTGCAGAAGCATATGCTTTTCGCTCTCCAATTGTCCACTAGTTCCGTTACATGGTATTTCTGCGGTACCCGAGAACCATGTTGCCAACTGCACGTACGGATGCTTTAGGCAGCTTGCGGAGGGGAAAATGGCTGTGTATTCGCGGGTGCTACACGCCAGGCCACCGGAAGCATTGCATGTGCCTGACGAAACGAGCATCTTTCGGTTTGAATGAACATTGCTTAATACTCAATCAGAAACGTTTTGCGGACGGATAGCGAGGCTTGTCCTTCGCTCGCCAGCTATTTTGCTTGGTGCTATGGTTTATCGTATCCGAAAGCCATTCCCATGGAACGCACAGGTCGCGCAATTATTTCAAGTGAGAAACCCTGAAGTCCTAGCTTTATGGAATGGAAATCAAGCTTGCCGTACCGCGTGTACTACTGTCCGTGTTCCTCGAAGTGGAGCAGATGGATTCATGCTCACACTGCCAGGTGGAAAGCCCGCTGCTTTGGATTCGAAGTAATTTATGCCATCGGAACGGTTTAGGCTTAGCGTAATAGCTTTTTCGAAGGCCCTGTCCTTTCTGTTCGCCTTCGACGCGCTTTGTAGGCATGTTTTAGTTACCGCAACATAATGGCGATGGACACGAACTTTGATTGGTGCTCCTTCTTTGCGCTGTTTTGGAATGTACGTCTCAAGGAGAGCAGAGCAGCCTGAAAAGCGTTGTCCGATGCTCACTACAAGTTCGTCGGCGCTGCTCGCGCAGGATAAGGGACTGAAATGTAAGATAAACGTTCCGGACACAGTGCTTTTTCGATATGGGCAGCTATCGGCTTGGTGGGCAACGAACAAGGTAAGCAACGCGGGGATACTGGCACTGTTACTGAGCGGTAATTCGACTGCCAAAGCCTCTCTTCCTCTCGTAATCACTATATTATTTCTTGGTTGGGCATATCGGGCAGGAGGGCTATATCCAACGGCACGCGAGCCATAACACGACGATGGAGGCGATTCGGAGACGCTTTATTCAGGTCGCTGAGTGCGACGAGGCAAACTACAGTAAATATGTTGTTGTTGTACGGGCAGGTAGGGGAACTTGTCGTTTCAGACCGCGGCTCGCCGCATGGCGCATGGCAATTCGGTTTTACGGGCAACCCCGCCAGGTCACGCCTGCCCCTCCCTAAACAGCTCAAATCCTTTTACAATATGTCCAGAGGGGTTCATCACCTTGTACAGTGTCTTTTGAACTCTACCAAAAGTTTTTATGCTGCGATACACCCAGACACATAGCCCCAGACCTTTCCCTTCCCTAGCAGAACCCGCGCTGAACCCGCTCCCCTTTTCTCCCTTTTCACGTTGCCAACCCACTCCCCTCGTCTAAGTGATTGCTGTGCCGCTGTAAGCCTTTACCCTCAACTCCTTCAGCCCCCACCCTCCCGTCCTGTCCGGGCGCAATTGTCCCTTCACCTCCCCCCTTCCCCCACCACCACCGGCCTCCCACAGCCCACCGCAGGTCTCGGCGTGACTCTCACTCCGACGTGCCAATACACCCTCCCAACAGAAGTCCAATTTTCAGTCCCTTCACCTCCCCCTCCTCCCCTCCCTCGCCCGCCAGGTGACGGCCATCCCCAGCTGCTGCGGCTGCAGGCCTTCAACCAGCTGACGGAAATGTTATCCGACCGGCTGGAGGCGGGCAACCTGGCGGCAGCTCCGGAGGTGGACTCGCTGCAGGTGCTGCAAGCGTTTGTGCAGGTATGTATGCACATATGTATGTATGTAGTACGTATGTATGTGTGCATGAACGGGCGGACGGCGACGGGATGGGGAGGTGGCGGGACAGCGTGAGTGGGGGGGAAAGGTGCGTTTCAAGGCTCTTCTCAATGCAGGTTCCCCGCCACCCGCATGGGCCTGTGGGGGGGCTCCGGGGCTCCAGGGAGAGCGGTGTGAGGTGGGGAAGGACACCTAGGGAGTTGGGCCTGTCGGGGCGCTGTGGCGAAGAAAGGCGGGAGTCGGGGACCTGCCATTGAGGCCCCTCTCCCCCTTACCCCGCCGGGCGGCCCTATGGCCCAGCGGGCTTCCTTGTCTTGGGGGGGGGAGAGGAAGGAGGAGAGGAGGGGAAACCCGCAGGCTGTCTGGGGATTTCATGAAGTCGGGGTGAGGGGGGGGGCCCGGCCGTACCTGATGACGGTCAGCTGTTCCGCCGTGAAAGGGGCCTGGCAGCTGAGTGATGGTGATGACACAGCGGCGGTGATGCAGCTGACCAGCCGACCAGCGGACAACCCCCCACTCCCCGAGCTTGTCGACGTCTTGGACTGCTTGCTGCAGATGGAGGCGGGGTGGGGGCCCGCCTGGGCCGGAATCCTCTCGCGTGTCAATATGTGTGTCATGTGTTTTACCCTTTCCCCCCCTCCCCTTCCCCGGAGCAGCCCCACAACGACCTGCGGTACGTCACCACGTATGTCGCATCTGGCGCCAACAACATCACCTGTCACACCTTTCAGCGGAAGTACAGTCGGAGGTACGTGGCGCAGGGCTCCACGCTGCCGCCGGGTGCCGACGACGCCTTTGTCAACGACTCGTCCTTCGCGTACGGCGCCAGCGCTGCGGCGTTGGACGAGACGCCAGACCCCGTCACGGGCCAGGGCGCCGTCGACGCCACGCTAAAATTGGAATTTCGAAAGCTGACGTCACACCTTGTGAAGTACATTGAGAAGGCTCACCGGTTGACATTGTCGGGAATTGTGGTTGAGTGGATTCGCGACAGCTGCGGCAAGATTTATCTACAGTCCGTACTCCGTACGGAATGGGCGACGAACGCGTACGGCAACGGAGGCGGCAGCCTCGGTGCCGCGAACTTGACTGGGGAACCTTTGGAGTTGGAAGATGGAACGACGCCGCAGTCGCCGCGGTCACCGCGGTTGCCGCCGCCGCCACCGCCACCGCCGCTGGGCGACGGAGGGGATGAAACGATGGCGCCGGTGGCTTGGGCCACTCCGCCGTCCCCCCCACCCTTAGCAACACATCCAAACGGCAGCCCCATTTATGCGCCCCCTCCGTCGAACCTCGCGATGACGCTGCCGCCGCCTAATCGTACATTGATGCTCGTACCTGGCAGTAGACCATCGTCCGCCTTCCCTGGCGGCAACGGCGGCGCGTCCACACCGCAGGTGACGGAATTCATCCGGCCCGCCGGTGTCCCCGGCGTCGGCGCCGGCAGTACGATGTCATCGCTGGCAGCCTTCCCTGGCGGCGGCCGCGCCGCCGGGCTCAGCGTCAGCGTTACGAACACCTGGCCATCCCACCAGCATGAAAATCAGTTAGGCAGCGGCGCCGTCACCGCACGATCCGCCGCTGGAACGGCATCGGGGGGGTTGCAACCGTTAGGCGCGGGTGGGCGGCCAATGTCCAGCGCCACGTACCACACGCAACACTCTGTTAGCGCCAGCGGCCAGCTGGCACTGGGCGCCGCTGCCGCTGCTACCGCCGCAGCTGGCGGCGGCGGCGGTGGCGGCGGCGGCGGCGGCAGGATTCAGTCCGCCCGCTCCGCGCTGGGCGGATCCTCCGTTATGGCTGATCGCGGTGGCGGCGGCAGCGCCGCCACCCGGCCCGCACGTCCCGGCTCCTCCCCCGTCGCCTTCGGCCGCAACTCCAACACATCCCCCCTCAGGAGCTCCTCCCTGGCGCCCGGGCCCACACCGGGGATCATTCCGAATACGGGCCTGGTGCCAGATCGCGCAGGATCACCGCCGGGCGGGGGTTTGAGCTCCGGCGCGAGTACAAACCGTACAGCGTCGCCGGCGCGGTCTCGGCCAGGCACGGGTACGACAGCCGGCGGCGGCGGCGGCGGCGGCTCCAGCGGTACGGGACACGTCAACGCTGGGGCTCGTGGTGCGCCCCTGATGATGCAGCAGTTGACCAGGGATTTGGAGGCGGCTAGAGATCAACTGTTGATACAAAACCAGCTGGCGGAGGCCAGCGCGGCAAAGGTACGACAGTATGGCACAAGTCACGAAGTGCCGAGTAGGCTGAGGGCAAGGAGGGCAGTGCCCCTTGGGTGCATCATGAAACAGTAACAGCACTACGGCACGACCGAAATGCGCCTACTTACCGGCCCTTACCTACCCATCTACCTAGCTTCATGCGTCGGTCCCTCCCCAAATCCAGAGGGAAGGGGCGTAGGGGGTGTAGGAAGGGGGAGAAG